ACAAGAGGTCGAGGAAACAGGCGATCTCGTGCACTGCTGATGGAAACGGGTCACGCCTGCTTTCTAGAGAGCAACAGGTATGAAAGCCTTAGGAAGCTCTGCTTGCAAGAATTTATCCCAAGAAAGGGGCCCCTGAGTGGCTTGATCAATGAAGTGTCCCACTCTTGATTTCAGCTCAGGTCACGATCTCACAGTTCGTGAGACTGCGCCCTACATCAGGCTCTGCGAGGACGGTGTGGAGCCTGCTTGGGATTCTCTCCCTCCCTCTCTCTCTGTGCCTCGCACACTCGCTCTGTCTCTCTCTCAAAATAAACTTTTTTTTTTTTAAAAAAGAATTTATCCCAAGAAAATAACTATGCACTCAAGATTTTTGTATGCTGATTATCTGTCACAGCAACATTTATGAATAGGGGAAAAACTGGAAACCACCTAAATGTCCAACACCAACTAGTCAAATATAATAAACCCCCAAGACAAACCAGCATTCACCACGATATAATCGTATTCTAGAAGAACGACACAGAGAATATAATCCTAATGTCGTTAACAAGAAACAAGCTATGCCTCTCACAGGCACAAAAAATGAGAGGGAATCCTCAGAATGACTTCCATGAATGGAGGAGGAGGTGTCTTCTAAGTTTTCTTCATGTCCACGATGAATGTTTACTTTATATTTAAAAACAAATTAAAAAACAAAGAAGCCTTCTCTTAAGCTGTGCTTAGAATCTTTGAGAGAAAGCTTTTTTTTTTTTTAAAAAAAAAACAATACACCCTCCAAGTCCTGTGTTCCCATTAATAAGGTATTTGAAGAAGCAGCAGGAAAGTGACCCTGACTGCCTCCACCACTCAGGGCTGAGACAGCGATCCCTCTCTGGACCTTGCATCACTCCGTCTAGAAGACACCAACTTCATCATAAGGACCGACCATCCCGCAACATCATAAGGACTGGACCAAACGGCCTCGAAGGCCCCGCCCACTGTAGCAGCAGGGGGCACCAAAGGGAGCGCGGGGAGGGCACAGCCCACGGTGCCAGGGAGCTCACGCTCCCTTCCTGGGGGCAGCGACGCCCCAGCGAGAGAGGGCAGAGGACACCTCACCCTCCAGAACACGAGGGAGCTCTGGGAAGTGTCCACGTGGAGGGCTGGGCAGACCCGGGGCCCCAACTGCATTTCTCCTGCGTGGTTTTCAGGCTCACGGCCTTCGCCACACGGAGCAGGGCACGGGCGGCACGACTACGCCGGGTGGGCTCTTCTAGGACAGCTCTCACCCTCAGGCCTCCTGACGGCGGCAGCGAGGGCCCCAGTCTCCAGCTGGACGTGCCTGGCCGGTGTGCAGATGTCTCCACAGACCCAGCTTTATGTGTTCAGATGGATACTCAGCCGAGAGTTCAAATAGATTACCAGAAACACTTAAGTTTCCTCATAGACCCCACAACGGGGCTGGAGAAGGAAGTCAGCTGATCAAGGTCACAATGCTGTTCAAGGGAGTCTTTCTTGGGTCACAAGTGGTAAACCATGTTCTCTGAACAAAACCAGGAAGCTTTCAGTTTTTATCGTGCGTACTAAGTCAAGGGAGGGACTTCGGATTCTGATAAAAATACCTCTCTATTCCCAGGGCCCAGCGTGCTACAAATAGGACCCTTCCCAGTATCCCAAGGAGAGCAGGGACACGGGCAGCCGGGGTTTTAGGGACTTTCTGGGCTGTGGGGCCACTGTTCTGGCTGGGCAGCCCCAGGATCAGGCACTATACGGGCCACCTGGCAGGGTGGGGGGAGGGCGAAGTCCCAGCATGCAGGCATACAGGTGGAACTGCCTAGAAATGAGTCTCCGCACGCCAAAGCCACAGAAATCAATGTACCCCTGAGGAAGGGAAGAGCTAAGAGCTGCAACAATCCTCCCACAACCCAAAGCCCCTGGGATTCAGGTTTGGGAAGAAAAGGAAAATATCCCAAATATGTCATTTAGGGAAAGAGCTGCTGACCGCAACCCGCCCGGATTTTCTCAAGATCCAGGATGTGGGTTCAATCCCCTTCCTTGGGCAGTGGGGGGGGGGGGGGGGGGGGGGGGGGGGAGCGGCCAGTACGAGGACCCTGGGCACAGGCCTGGGGGACGCGCCCCCACAAATCAACCCAGATTGTGGAGAACTTGTCCCGGCCCGAGGCCAAGTTCACACCCACAACTCTGTGCTGACCTAGGGCGGAAGTTCACGCAAGTCCAGCAGACCCCACCGGGGCGCAGCCCTGCCCCTCTCACACCAGTGGCCCCGACTGGAGCTTCAGCTCTGAGGCTTCCTCATTTTCTGGAAGCCTCACGGTAGCAAGAAACCTGCTGAGCAGATCGGATTCCGCACCGGCCACCCAGAACACAGCCACCGCCACTTCCTCTCGCCCCTGGTCGCGAAGGCCTTCCCGGCACCAAGGCCCCACTGGCCGCTGACAGGATTCCCAGATGGCAGAAGGCAGGTCCCAGGGAACAAGGCAGTTACCGTTTCCTTGTCCAGCAACAAAGGCTCCAACCGTTTCGCAACACTAATTCCCAAACACTGGAGAATAAAAGCTTAACAAAGTCAATAGCCGAAGCTTCTGAGGTCTGGCCTACAGCAGCGTTATCTGTATTCCTATGACTCAGGAGGGAAGCTGGCACCTTCCATGGAAAGGCTTTGCTGTAAAGGTCACAAATTCACGAGCCCACAGCACCGCCCTGGTCTCCTGCACAGGCACAGCACTGGTGCTCTCCGAAGTCCAGCAGCACTGCCACAGGCAGGCACAGAGTCCCACGAGAGCACCAGGGAATGCTCAGGAACTTTCTGTTTTCCTCTGAATGTAAAACGAAATATTACACCACAGAAGGAGGGCCAAGACAGCTGCTGACTCTTTGGGAACCACCCTGCGACCTGCCCCGGTGAGGAAACCAGGTTCTCCCCACTGCTGCTTCGGGCCCGAGCCGGCCGGCAGCACGGGGCCCAGGGTCTCCAACCCCAGCTCAGGACAAAGGGCTGCTCTCCCCACTTCCAAGTGGGTCTTCCAAGGGAAGCAGGAGGATCCTCGATGGGCCACCTGTTCCCGATGGCCAGCATACCCCGTGCCGAACCACCAGAGCACGCCCCACCCCCCATGCTCAGGACAACGCTGGCCTCTCGTCACGGACAGAGGAACAGAAGCCCTGTCCCAGCTGCAAGCACGAGGAAAATAGCACAATGGTTCCAAGACGCCGAAAGTCCCCGAGGAAAAGGGGGCCTGTTCGGCCAATCACCATCCCCCTACGAGGGGGGGGGGGGGAGCTGAAGCAGCCAAGGGTTTCTGCTGGGTCCCACACATCGCCCACCTCCAGACTCTGCAAACACACCACGAGGGAACCCCGCTGCTGGCTGGCACACTTCCAGACCCTCCCCATCACCTCCTGCGCCTTCAATCCCAAGCCAGAGCACTACCAAAGGAAACCACCGGGGAGTGAGACGGAACCCAGGTGATCAGTGCACAGGGACGCTAGGGCATATGAACCTAGGAGCAGGACTGTCCAAGCCCTGGCAATGACTCAGTTCGCCACGAAGCCCCTCTGCACTGGCACTCAGGGTTCCTTACGAGGTCTGCCTCTTCTCTGCGTCCCCTGGCAGAGACACTGGCTCCCGGAGTACCCTTCCTGCCTGCGTGGCAAGCCTTCCTGCTGAGGCTGTTCACCAGAGGCCCCGAGTGAGCCTGGCTCCTCCCCCTGGTGGCCCTTCACACGGACGTGCGTTCTTACAAGAGGCTGGGGACCACAACGGATTCCTAATCTGCGTCCATGTCGCAGTGAGAAAACAATGCTCTCCTCCCGCACTGAAAGGATCCCCCCGGGGCTGTGGGGTAGGGGCCCCTCTGGGGAGCGGCCACATCTCAGGGCGGCCCCGCAGCAGGTTTCTCTCGGGACCGCCACCAGCAGACTGGGAGGACTCGCTTCTTTCTCACGCGGGAGGCGATGGCGGAGACGGCTCTCGGGGGACCCGGTGAGGTGAGCAGGGCCGAGCACCCAGCTACCCACCCCTCACCCCAGGAAATCCCACTCGTCCCAACCAACCTGGTGAAGCTGCTGCTGCAGGGCCCGGCTCTCCGTCACTATGGCGATCTGGGCCTCCAGGTCCCGGTGAACTGACCTGTACCCAAAATTAGGAGAGCCAATCAACGTGAGGCAGGGCAGGCTGCTCCCTGCCAGGTACAGCCAGAGGCCTGCAGGGAAAAGGAAACGTGCAGACAGGAAATGAGCATCTGCTGAGAGCCTCTCCATGCTTCGCTTTGTTCAACCTAAGGGAAAAGCAGCCCTGCCTGGAAGGAGCGGTCGGGCAGGACGTGCTCTCCGCCCGGGCGCTGTCAGGAGGGCACGGACCCCCGGCGTTCCCAGGAGGCCGCCTCCTCCTCTCTTGCCCAAGCACGGCGAGAAGTGGGCTCTCCAGGGAACCCCAGAGGCCGCTGCTCAGGTTCCGCTCTCACGGCCCCGTGTGGCAGCCCCTCCGGGAGACCTCAGGGCCCCTAGGCCCCCCTCCGAACAGCCTCAGCCACATCTTGGCCACTGAAACGCGGAACCCACCCTGGCCAGAGGCTCCACGGTCCTGCCATGAGCACTGAGGGGATGAAGTAAGTGCACCAGAGTCCAGTCTGTACCTGCTTCTCGGGAAAGACACCCCCCCGTGCTAAGAAGGTGGACGAGGGAACGGCGGGTTCGTCCACCCAAGCCCGCAGGCACGGGGCTGTCCCACGGGTGTGACAGAGGCTCTTGGTAAGCACAGGTTACTCCGTTCTGCACCCCTTCCCACCTACGGACACGTGATTCTCCGACTCAGGCTGCCGACACACCACGCCCAAAGGGACACCAGAAGTGAGTGCCCGCTGGGGACCCGGGGACATCCAACCAGACAGGCAAAGCCCACGAGAGGCCAGCGGAGGAGAGAACCCAAGAGGCGCCGTAAGCTTCCGTCCCACCCCAGAGAACACTGTTCCCCCTATCTTGCCAGGAGATGAGCCAGCCGACGGCACAGCCAGAGAAAAGGCCGGGCACAGGATGAGGCGATGGGGGGTACAGGGTCCTGCCTCGTCAGACAAGAGGCAGGTCTTCCACTGTGTCCTCCCATCCCGAGTCCCAAGGCCTGCCCGGACGGCCCAGTGCCCATCACAACTACTTCTGAAAAGACTGTCCCAAACCTGACCTCCCCGGGACATCTACTGCCCTAGACTTCCTTCCTCCTACGCGACCCCAGACCTGGGTCTGGCCCCCGTTTTTTCCTGCACGTTACACCCAGGACGCTCAGCCCAGAAAACCCAGCCCAACATCCGGTGCCCAAGTTGGCCGCGGCTCCCCCGCAGGGTTCCCCTGCTCAGGGCCAGCCTCCTCACACCCTCCCACCACCGCTGGTCCCTCCTCTGCCAACACGGCCCTTTCAAAGGGCCCTCGGGCGCGCATGACCATCGTGAGCGAATCAACGACGTACTACACGCCAAGGAGCCTAAAATAGAAGGCCATTTCCTAATTCTCACTCAGAGCAAGAGCATTTCCAAGAATATCTTGGGTAAGAGATGACGGTGCTCTGCTGCCTGTTCCTGTAATGTGCTCGACCCTCCCCCCCGCCCCCCCACACACAGGGGCCACATCAAAGCTGCTCGCCTGCCTGTATCGCTCAGGCAACTGCACCGTCCCATGGGGCCACTGCCGCACAGGCAACCACTCGGCTCCCCTCATCTCGTGTCAAGAGACCACGGGGTGGGCCAGATGCCCAGCGAGGTCCACTGGAATGGCTGCGCCTCGGCCACTGCAGTTCTGGCTCTCTGCCTACGCCAGGCTCCGCCTCTCCTGCCCCTCCTCTCCACGCAGCCCGGAGCTGGGGGGACAGGGCCAGGGACAGAGGAAAGGCCGCCTGCCATCGCTGTTCCAACTCTTGCGATGGGCTCAGAAAGACTGAAAGGCACCGGGGCTGCTGAGTGCCGCCCATCCAGCTGGCTCTCCCAAGCCCACTCTGATGGGACAGGGCCAGCGAGCGGTAGGGAGGCCCGACCCCAGCTAAGGCTGATGTGAATCACGCCACCCTGCGTGTGTCCATCCAAGGCTCCTGGACTGCGGGGCCCGGCAGGGAAGGCCAACAGGACCCGGTCCCGTGTGTACTTTTTATTTCTGAAATCTGCCTAAACGTAGACGGCTTCCTCCTGAGGCAACCTAGGGGCCAGCCACGGGAGGTGGGCGGCCCATCCCCAGCCCCCTCCGACGGCTCCTTGTGCCCGCCACCGCTCCCCAGCCTGATTTCACTACCGGCCCCTGAAGAGCTTCCGTAGACCCGTTTTTCCTAATCGCCAACCCCGAAAGCTCTCTTGTTCTCTGATGAAGGGGAGCACGCAGCCTGTGACCGCCCCACCACCTTCCTCTGTAGGCCCACGTGGACCACGATCTTTCTCCACCCGAAGGACGTAAAGACCACAGATGGCGAGGCCCCGCTGTACCCGTGCCCCAGGGGCTCAGGACGCAGCCCCAGGAACAGCCAGCCCCTCTGGGTGCAAAGCTCCACGAGGCGGATGTCTCACCCCTGGGCCAGGCCCCCAGGACAGTGGGAAACTTTCATTCGGGCAGGAGCTGTAGCGGGCAGGAGCTACAGCGGGTGCATCCCTGCTCCGGGCCTGAGCGGGGGAGGGGAGGGGCGGGGGCTCAGGGCACTTCCCAGCAGGGCCATGAGCCTGTTATCAAGGCCGGGCCTGACCTTTGTGCTAAACACCAATCACTCTATGACCTACCACACTCTGCAGCCGAAGGGACCGCACTGACAGCACAGAGGGGACTGGCTGGGGACGGTCCTCAGGCCCTGAGAGAGCATCCTGGGGGGGGGGGGGGGGGGGGGGATGCAGATGACTGTACTGAGCCCCAAGGCTACTGCTGGCTCTAGGCTCTAGAAGGAGAACCCCTACTCCCCCCACCGCCCCTGGGGCCACCTCTGCTGCTCTGCCTGCACCTCCAGTCCCTTCAGCACGCGGTCCCAGCATCGTGCCACAGAGTAAACCTGGTGACTTGATGGCTCCCACGGTGCTCACTCACCGGGCCTCTGGGCCTTCCTGATGGGCCCCGGCCACCTGCCAGCCTCACTGCCCCCCGAGGCCGCCCCCCTCACTCGTCATGCCCCTCGAGGTCTCGGGGCTTCACATTCCTGCTCCCTCTGCCTGGACCCTTGGGCCGGGGACTGCGTTCAGTGTCCCGTCCACAGAGAGGCCTTCCCGACACCCCCATTTAACAGATCTGTTCCCTCCCCTTGCTCTGGTCTTCTCCATAACCCTCTCCACCACTGGACATTGTATCTGAATAGAGTCATCGGCCCATTATTTGTTTCCTATTAAACCAGACATCCTGAGAGGACAGGGGCTTTGTCTTGTCCCCAGTGACTTATTCCCAACCTCAAATGCTGCCTGGCACACAGCAGACACTCAATAAATATTTGTTTAAACAAATGAGGCTAAAAGTGCATCTTCTGACACATGATGATGAAGTACAAAAAGCTCTGAGTTCTAAAGCGAGAGCTCAGCAACGCTTCTGAGTATCACTCCAAGGAAACATTTTTTTTAATCTTTTTTTTTACATTTATTTATTTTTGAGAAACAGAGTGAGACAAAGCGTGAGCGGGGCAGGGGCAGAAAGAGAAGGAGACACAGAACCTGAAGCAGGCTCCAGGCTCTGAGCAAGCGGTCAGCACAGAGCCCGATGTGGGGCTCGAACCCACGAACTGTGAGATCATGACCTGAGCCGAACTCAGACGCTCAACCGACTGAGCCACCCAGGCGCCCCAAAAAATTTTACCTTATGCACCCCTCCTGCATCTCTGCCACAGTATTTGGCAATACATTTCAGAGGCTCTCAGACCCGTATAAAAATAACAGGGAACAGGAGACATCACAGCCTTGCGCTAAGAGGAGTAAGCACCCGCCTGTTACACTCCGGGCCACAAAGAGGCTGTCTGCCCTGGTGTGCACCTGCCAGCGCCCAGGTGAGACACACGTGCCCTGGGCACACAGGGCGCGGCTGCCCGGCCTGCACTGCAAGCTCACCTTTGGGCACTACGCCAACCGGCCGCCTTTCGGGAAAGCAGTAAAAATAGTGACAATTCTCACAATCATTAACAGATTCCTCTGTCAGCAGGAGCCAGAAATCTCTTAATCCCACAGCCCTGCCCCGCCCTAGCCACACACCATGCTCTCAGTGCTAGGATACCACACCCAGATGAAATCTAAGCCAACACCTCAAAACTCATTTTCTGATCCTGCCCCTGAAATGTCCTCCAGCGTGGACGTGGCCCCTGCCCGACGGGGCTGCGGCGAAGCCGCGTGCCTCTTGCTCCAGCCAGAAGCCCCACAATGGGACAGCAGATCAGGCCACTCCCCTGCTGGAAGCGGGAGAGGTGAGAAGCAGGCCACACACACACACACACACACACACACACACACACACACACACGGCACCCTCACTCAGGCACCCCTGCGGCTGCTGCCTCTCCAAGACCTCAAGAGGTTAGCTTGTTGGCACGGCACGTGGCCGATACGGTGCTGACGACCGCCAAGAAGGCCACTCTGCACCTGGCCCCTGTACCCCACTCTCCACCAGGATCAGGTTTCCAAGGGGAATCCCTGTAGCAGCCGAGGTGTCCTTCGGTAGGTGGGTGGAGAAATAAACTGTGGTCCGTCCAGACAACGGAATGTTACTTAGCACTAAATGCCAAGAGCTGTGAAGCCACGAAAAGACGTCGGGTTTACGAACCTCAAACGCACCTCACTAAGTAAAAGAAACCAGTCTGAAAGAGTCACGGGCTGTGTGATTCCAACTGTATGACATTCTGGAAAAGGTGAAAACATGGAAACAGTGAAAGGACCAGCGGCTGCCAGGATTCGGGGGGAAATGGGAGGGACAGACAGGAAGCACGGAGGGTGTTTAGGGCAGTGAAACCCTCCGTATAATACAGTGACAATGGGCACATGTCCTCCTCCGTGGGAACTCACGAATGCACAAGATGAGCCTCAATATACAGCATGGACTCTGGGTGATACCACGTGTCGACGTCAGCTGATCGGTGAGAATGACTGTGCCTTTCTGGTGCCGGATGCTGACGGGAGGGGGGAGGCTGTGCGTAGGGGGAGGGGGGCAGGGTAAGGGCAATCTCTGTGCCTTCCTCCCAATTTTGCTCTGAACCCAAACCGCTCTAAAAAAAAAATTAAGTCTCCTGGAAGTAAATGCATGAAATAAGAGTATAAATTGTCATTTAAAAGGGGAAAAATAATTACTTAAGCCGTGAAGGGCCACACTGGGCACTAATGCCCACGCAGTAAACCAGAGCAGGTATGGAAAAAAGAAACGTGGCTGGACGCCCAGCGCCTCTTCACGTGAGCCGCCAGCAGCACTCGTGGTGTATCCTGCTCGCGGAACCTCACCCAGGCTTCCAGACTCCAAGTCTGGTGCCTCCTCAGCATTCCGAATAGGTGGCCTTTGCAAAACCCCGAAGAACACTAGACAAACCACGTGGCAAAACTCTCTGGGGTACGTGCCTTTAAACAGTGGAAGGTTTCTCTGGTACTTTGAGGCAATGTGAAAATGGGGTAGAAGGGCACCCGGGGGCTCAGTCGGTTGAGCGGCCGACTCTTGATTTCAGCTCAGGTCGTGATCCCGGGGTCGTGAGACCCAGCCCTGGGTCAGGCTCCTCAGTGAGCACGGAACCCGCTGGGGATTCTGGCTCTCTCTCCCTCTGCCCCTCCCCTGCACACTCTCTCCCTCTCTCCAAAATAAAAAAATAAAAATAGATAAATAGATAAAACACAATAAAAAAATTTTTTTAAGCCATCTATGCTCCAGTCTGCTACGGGATCAGCCAAGCATGCCAGTGAGACACGCCTCTACTCAGGAGCCCACCGACCAGAACAAGTGCTGTTTTCACAGCTACCTTGCTCCGTCTCTCCAAAGACGCCTCTGAACCACCGCTTGACATCCTCACACTTGATAGGCAGGAGAAGACTGAAGGACGCCCCCCAGCCCTTGGAACTCCCTGCCATTCCCTGGCACCTGCTGACCGGTGCGGTCACTTCCACGAGGAGGATTCCACCTAGCTTCCTGCGGGCAGGGAGCACGCAGACTGTTCCTGCATCACCACACTCACGAGGCCACTGGTAGGTTCAACGCAGAGCCCCTCCCTGCCCGACTCCTAGGGGGCGCGGCGCTGTTGGATCCACAAGGATATGCACGTGGCAAACGTGGGGTCCAGCTCCCTCTCCTCACCAAGGGCTTCTGGGAACATGAGGAGTCAAGATCAGCCAGGCCCGTCCTGCGGGAGCCTGGATAAGGCCATCAGGGTACCGGCTACTCAGCCATCGACAGGAACGAACAGACGCTCCACTTGTCCCCGGGCACAGGCCTGGCCGAGAGTAGACAGCAAACCCAGCCCTCTCCCCCACCGGCACCTGGGCTGCCTGCTCCTCTCGGAGGCCGCTTCGGGCAGAGTGAGCATCCAGGGATGAGCCAGAAAAGGGGGCTGACTTAGGACCCCCGGCCAGTACCGATCACAGTCACAGGAGAGGATCCTGGGCTCTCCAACACGGAGGGATCTCTGACCCCTGGCTCCTCCTCACCGGCCCATCCCCCATTCTGTTTCTCACACACGTGCCCTGGGATCCCCGCCTTCCCCACTAACCCAGTGCTCCCAGGAGTGCAGGGCCCCACCCGAGGGGGGGGGGGCGGGGGCAGGAACATGCCAGTCCGGGAAAAGGCGAGACGCACTGGAAAAGCCGGTTGGGTGTTTCTGTTTCAACGGTAACTGGGGAGTCGCTGCACGTTTATCAGCGCGGCTTCAGGGAAATAACCCCCAGCCCGGTCACAACTGTCAGGCCAGGCTGAGCTGGGAGCCCTGAATGCCAAGGGACCTCCTCGCTGATCTCACCACGGGACAGACCGGGAGCGGGCGCCGTCTAGGCGGACCCCACACAGCTCCCCAGGTCCTCGCGTCCTCTCGGAAAAACAAAGCTTCTCCCGCCGTCCGGCTGCCGTCTTCGATACCCCACACCAAGGCAGCGTTGTCATTCTCAGAAGTAACGAAACCAACCCTGAGATACTGCCCACACCCTCGCTGGCTTAGCCCCACCTGTGCGGTGCAGCCCACCAGCGCCAGCACTCGGGGACAGTTCACTTCCACACCCAGGGCCTCCGAGCGGGAAGTGGGAACCACCCTCGAGGCCGGAAGCTTCACCCTTCTGAGCGGTGACAGTGACTCTCGAGGCATCAGAAACTGGAGAGGTTTTTTTTTGTGTGTGAATGCCACATTGGATTCGTCCCCGAGAGAGCTGGATGCAGGTCTAGGGCAACCTGGGCGTCAGTATTTATCAAGTACCCACGGGTGAAGAGCACCGACGTAACAGAAAAAGAGTCCCACCCAATGATCCCCAAGGGACCTCAAATCTAAACAACACAGACAAGCGGCCGTGGCCGTCTGCAGCCCGGACTCCCAGTCCGGGACCAGAGGTCAAGGTACCGCCGTCTGCTCCCTCCTCGACCAGCCCTTGAGCAAGACTCCAGGGCCAGCACGAGAGCACAAGGGGCCTCCGGACCACCAAAGAGAAGCCAGAAAAGCCACGTCCGTCACTCGTGGCCGGGGGCTCTCTGTGCCAGTCACTCTTCCTTCAACACAGGACTATGACCCGTGGAGCATGGGAAGGAGTGACTACACGTGAGGCAGGTGCCCTCGAGGCATCAGGCAGCAGCGGGGACAATCCCTCTGCGGAGCACACGGTTTTAAACCCGTTTATCCCCATCTCAGACCACATTCCTGGGATTACGGCACGTGTGGGCTGCCCCGGCAACGCACACCCATGCCTGCGGGGGACCATAACCCACATACGGTTCAGACCACGGCCCACGTGGGGGCAGCGCTGTGCGGCTAAAAACGGAAAGGACAGGGCCTCGATCTTCACAGCTATGAAAAAAAGAGGAAGATTCACACAGAGGAAAACGAACCGCAGTGGCGAGGCAAAGACCGAAAACCGGGCTGTTTAATGCCAAATAAATAACGCCTCACGAACCCTCCGTCCCCGAGGAGGGCACGGCCAACACGGGAAAACTCCCGATGACCAAGTGAAGGCGACATCACGCACCTCTTCACCCATCCGAGAAGTTACGCGTACGCTTTCTAAAAGAGCCGCCCCAGCCACGGGAGGTTTTAACTTCCGGGCGCAAAAAGGGAGAAACAGGCGCAACCGAAACACGCTCAGACACGAGGCTGCGGCACGGGCGCCCCGGCGGCTGGGAGCACAGGACAGGAGGAGGGCCGAGCGCTGGCGAACGGGCGAGCCCCGCCGCCGCCGCGTACCTTTGGCGTGGAACGTCCAGCCCCTCCGCCAGTACTCCTGCAGCCGCACCCGCTCCTGCTGCCCCAGGCTGCACACCTCGCCGTAGAACTGCCGCTCGATGTGCACGTAGGCGGCCGGGATGGCACCCGCCACCCCCTTGGCCCCGAAGAAGCCGTTCACCTCCGGGGAGGCCAGCAGGATCTGGTACTCGGCCCGCGTGCCCAAGACCAGGTCCATGTAGGCCTGGGTCAGGTTGAAGTAGCCAGTGGTGAGGTAGACCTTGGCGCCTCGCTCAGCCTCCGTCAGCAGGGTCTCGGTGACGATCTCGTCAATCTGGATCTCAAAGGGCTTCATCTGGATCAGTGGGTAAATCCAGGTGTCGGGGGCCGGCCTCCGGTCACCAGCAGCTGCCGCGTCCTCCTGGGTCAAGAGGGAGTCGCTGTGGAAGGTCTGGGCGTGCAGCACTTGCTGGCGGGCCCTGGCTGAGTTGATCACATCCATAACCCTCTTGTTGGCCGCCCTGCAGTATGCGGCCCGGTCACCTGCAGGGACACAGGGAGGGAGGAAAGCGGAGGCTCTGGACTCCTGCCTGGCACGGGGACGCGGCCCGAGACAGGCAAGCGCAGATGCCCCAACTGACCGTCTGGCGACACGCTCCCGCGGAGCGCAGGCAGCAGGCCGCAAGCAAGGCTCCCCCGTGGGGGCCTCTGTCAGTTCCACGTACTCGAAGTTCAAAAACAGACCAGACTACTTGAGGGGGACAGAGACGAGGGGAGCGGGACCTCGGGATGCGGTGCCTGGGAAGGGCCTGTGACGCACACGCTCCCGACCCACACGCCGGGGGCTGGCGCTCGGCACGCAGGCTGCACCTGAGCGAGAGCGTTTAACAAAGGCGCGTGTGGGTGTGCGAACCACAGAGCGTGGGCACAACTGCGGGCCGAGCGAGCTCCACACGGTGGGAGCGGGGCCCTCGAGGTACAGCGTGGGGACAGACAGGCTCGGGGCCCCGCGTGTCTACACGAGACACTGGTGGCGAGCGGCCGTCTGGACACACAGGACAGACGAGAAAGGACCATAAACGCTATCGGAAGGTGAACACTAACGAGTCAGCATCCGACCTGAGCCGTCGGGGTGAGACCACAAGCCCAGCAGGAGCAGGGAGAGAACGAAGAGCAGAAGGGAAGAGAAGAGGACACTGAGTGTCAGTGCTGTGCAAAGCCGGCCCTCTGGGGAGATGAGGCGACAGCAGGCCCCAGGCAACACCGAGCCAAGCGTCCGAGAGGGACGGACCGGGACGGCCGCCCCGGTCCTTACTTGCTCCCACGCCTGAGCGCCTTTGGGGGTGGGCTCCGGGACAAGAAGGGGTGCTCTGTGCAAACCGTGTCACGGTGACAGCAGCACCCACACGGGAGGAGGTGCCACCCACCACAGGAGGTCTCAGGCTGTCCTTCTGAGTGTCGTGAGTGTCCCCTGCGTCCCTCCGAGCCACTGTGGTCCCCAGAGCACATCTGTGCAGGCCCGGCCGCCCCCACCTGCCCCCTTTGCGTGTTGACTCATCCTTCCCAGAACGCGGGGCCCTCTTCTCTGCATATTCATGCCTGGCCTGTAAAGTCAGACCAGGGGTCAGCCGATGTTTCCTGTATGGGCCAGATAGCTGAGTATTTCGGGCTCTGTGAGCCAAAGGGCAAAACTGAGGATAACACGTAAGTATTCGTACGACAAGAGAGAAAACAAATTTCCACAATTTTTTTTTTATTGATGAAAATGGAAAATACCATAGTAATAACTGAGCGTCCAGGCCGGCAGCAGGCAGGGCAGGCACCCGGCTCACAGACTAGCGCCCTGGACAGGGGCTCTTGTCCTTATACGGTCAGCGCTTACCCCTCCCCACGCTGCTGACACTGTTGCAAATTCAGCAGCAGGCCTTCCCAAAGGCCACCAGGAAGCCACAGGAATCACAGGAATGCAAATGCCCCCAGAACGCTAGCTGCCAGGGTTTGCCTGTCTCCAGGGAGCAGAGCTGAGGGCTCTCCCATTTCACTTTCCAGGCAGGAGGCCACAGGCCTCCGCGGAGCTGAGAGCCACAGAGCCTCTCGCTCCCCGCTGGGGAACTGGCCCTGGGGGGGGGGCTGCTTCCTGTAAGCGCAGGCCAGACCCCTGCCAGGCCAGGTCCCCTCCCCCAGGCACCGGCTGAAGCCCGCCCTCCCGCCTTCCCTGGACCCACAGAGCAGCACCGACGGCCCGTGAGTCACCTCTGGCGGCAGAGACACAAGCAGAACGAGGCTCTGCCACCCAAGGGTCGCCGGCCCGCAGCCAGGCCGCCAGAGGCGTGCTCACCACAGCCGGCGGCCCCGCCCGCCAGCTCAGGAGGGCAGCGGAGCCCAGGACCCTACCTTTGTAAGGATGCACCATCCCTTCCACCACCTGCACCGTGTCATCCCCCTGCAACTGCAGGGACACGTCCCCCACCGCATCCACCAGCTCTGTGAAGAAGTCTGCGATCTCGGGGCAGTCCTGCAAGAACACGTAGCGGTCCTGACGGTTGGTGAAGTAGGAGTCGCTCAGGTTCGCGCTGCAGGGAGGAAACAAGCAGCTGAGGACTCGGGCAGGACCGCGGCGGGTCCCGGGGAACCAGCAGGGACGGGGCAGTGACAAACACGGACGAGGACCCCACGGCAGAGACCGAGTAACCAGCAGCTCCCCTGAGCGTGAGGTGACACGAAGGAGGGAGCCGCAGAGCCCCGCCCCTCAGAGTTGGCAATCAGCTGAGAGGAGAACGCCACTTATAAAGCCAACTACCCCACGGGGCTCGTCACCGACGCCCGGGCTTTAGAATCAGAAGACGTGGACCCGCCATTCCGGCTTGTTCTTCCTGTGTCACTGGTCTAGTCTCCCGTGGATACAGCGAGGAGAGCACGACGCGGGTCTCCGCGGGGGTCACAGCGACAGCACACACAGGGCGCAGGGCGGGGCCTGGCAGCCACCAAGCGCTCTGCAAGCCACGGCTCCCTCCTGACGGCCCTTGGCGGGCCTCCCGCTGCCACGGCAGACGCGCTGCCGCGGAAGACACTGACACGGTGTGACGACTAGACCAGAAACCTACGACCACGTTCTCGGAGGCTTACGAAGATGGGTCTTCCCTTCTCTGTGTTCTGCAAACCTCTGCCCTGAACGATATCAAGGGGAGGTCCCGGACGGAAGGCAGCAAACTAACCCACTCAAGATGACGTTGTTGTCAAAGAGGTACACCTTAATGTGCTGCAGGCCGATAGTCTCATTGAAGCGCTCGGGGATCAGGAGCCGGAGAAGCCCACGGAGGTTAGGCGTGTGGAAGAGGGAGACGCGAACCTGCTCTGGAAATCTCTGCAGCAGCGGGAGCAGCATCGTACGTGAGTTCTTCCTACCTAAACACGTGGGCAAGGGGAAGGACGAGGATGGGCGATTCACACCAGGAAAAACACCCCGCCAGCCGGGGGGGGGAACCACCTACCGCCCATCACAATCGGCCAGAACCCCTGGTGCCATCGCGAGCCCGAGGGGCTCAGACCGAATTCAGCTCTGGACACCACCACGTCTCAGAGCAAGACCGGAGCGGTCGGTGCAGCAGACGCCTGCCATTTGGGCACCCGGCACCCATTCACCCCACCCCACCCCCGCCCCGGGAACTGTACCCAAGTCCCTCCCAGGGGTACCACCCGCTCCACTCTCGGCGTATCTACTCGGCGTAAAGAGGGCTCCACCCACCCTGAACCCTCACCCCAGCTCCACGGGAGGGCGCCCGGGCCCAGGCGGGGCCGGTCAGCGCGAGACAAGGACAAGATGTCACGGCCAGATGGGCCTGGGGCCGCCAAGGGCCACCGCGTGGAGCCCGAGAATAAAGCCAGCCCAAAGGAAGGAGGGCCGGCAGATGAGTCCTGGTGAACACCCAACCCCCCAAATCAACCTGCCCAGAGCGGGTCAGTCATGGGAGTCAAAAACAGTCTCTTTTTGGCCTAAGTTGTTTTTCCTTGGGCTTCCAGTCACTTGCTACGGAAGGAATGCTGATACTCTGGGCTGTCTTCAAACAGCCTTGCCTCTGCCCGGGACGGGGGAGACGAGAGCGTAAGTCGTGAAACAGGCTCCGAAAGAGGCAAACTCGGGGCAGGGAACGTGTCAGCCCTACCTCTTGAGCCCCGTGTAAAGTCCAAGAGAATGGACACCTTGAGGTCTGAAGGAAACTTTGCTTGGAGTGACTTTTCTAGAGTGCTTTCCAGGCAATCTACCTACCAAGGAGAGAACCCAAAAGAACAAAAGTATAAGATCCAAAAAGATGATTAGGTATTAAAAAAAAGGATCTACTTTCCAGGTAACACACACACCCC